CACGCTGGTGCTAAGTAGCAGTAGCGCTCCTGGACAAACCGCGCTACAGATAAAGTTCTAGCAGTAGCGCGCCTTGTTGTAAACATGTTACTACTAAAATTCCCACGGCTAATCTGATAGGCTACACATAGTAGTAGCGATCCATACTGAACGGTGCTACTGCTACTTCCTTTGTAGCAGCGTATTTTATTCCAAAACTCGCTACTGCTAAAGAATATAAAATTAAATGGAAAGCAAAGAGAAAGGTAATTGAAAATGAAAGAAATAGAATAAGGTGAAAGGAAAAAATAAAATGTGAAGAAAAGTAAAAGAAAAAGGGGGGGAAAGAGAAAGGAGTAGCAGTAGCGTGTATATCAGAACACGCTGTAGCTAAAGTAGCAGTAACGCGCTTTCTGGAACGCGCTACTCCTACTTCTGACTTAACCACCCGCACGGGCTCAAATTTTTGCTAAGTCCTCCATTCCCCCCTGTTCCCCTACTCCTCTGTCGTGGCCGCCCGATCCTTCCCTCACCGCCGCCGCTCGAGGCCGCCCTCAACCTCACCGTTGCCGCCCGCCGCCGCTCTCGACCTCACCGTCGCCGCCCTCGACCTCACCGTCGCCACCCTCGACCTCACCTCTGCCGCCCGAGCCCGCCCTCACCGCCCTACCTCTTCGTCGCCTAGCATCTCCCCGCCACCGTCTCTCCCCTCTCTGTAAGCCCCCCACCCCCCTTCTCTCTGCTTAGTCAGTACTAGATGTTGTTTAGTAGTACTAGATGTTAATTTAGGGTTCATAGATAATGATTTTAGTAGTAGTAGATGTTAATTAGTAGTAGTGATGGTACTAGTTAACTAGGGCAGTATGGTTAATAGTAGATGTTTTTTACTATTGTATAATCTAGTTTATTTTTACTGTTTTTAGTAAGTGTTTAAAATATTTTGTAAGTAAATTAATAAACTAGTTGAACTGGTTTAGTTGTAGTTGAACTAGTTTAGTAAGTAAATTAATAAACTAGTTGAACTAGTTGAATTAATAGAACTAATGTATTTTTAGTAAGATAATTAATATAACTAGTTGAACTACTTTATTTTCAGAAAGAACTAGTTTTTTTCTATTTATAGTAAGTTTATATTTAGTAAGAACTAGTTGAATTAATAAAACTAGTTGAACATGTCATATTTGGTTGCCCAAGTGACCGTTCATGTTCAGGTTACACCTCCGAGTGGCCTATATTTTGCCGGAGTGTTGATTAATTTCCGTTCTGGCAAATTTCAGGCGCTCGATATGTCATTTTTTAGCAAAGGTCATGCCGGATTTTTCCTTGAATTCTGTCATGACTTGTGCTAGAATATGTAGGAAATATCGAGTGGCCTGGATTTTCTCGAAAAATAATGATCTAATTTAGGTTTTTTAGAACATATATTTAATTGTAAAAGTTTAATCTTTGAATTATGAACGTAGAAAATGTCGTACTCGGACGACGACAGTCTCCCGGGGAAGTGCAGCTGGTGCCACGACGATCGAGGTCTGTGCGACAGGTTCCTTGAGTTGGACGAAGATTGGCGCTTCAGCATTAAGCTCGAGGAGACCTTCGATGTTGAAACGGTACGCAACAACGACAAGTGTGTTTTTCGTAATTAAGCATGACTTCAACTATTTCAACGTCTAATTTTCATCTTTTACAATTCGACTAGCTTATCCCATGCCATGCAAGACGCTATGTCTTGAAGAGGATGGGTTTTGAAGACCATGAAAATTTTGAAACAAAGAAAATACACCTAAGGACCCATCATGATATGGATTTTGAAGTAAATCTATACAATTCTCAGAGCGTAACCCATTTTTGTTGCCAAAATTGGGAAGCACTTTGCAAAATGTATGGTTTTTACGAGGGTATGATTGTCACCATGGATCTTGGTGATCCTGACATCGAGCAAGACAATATGGACATTTGGGTCCTTGTTGATACGCTTCCGATTGTACCGCAATGTGAGTTTCTCAAACATAGTTATTAACTTATTTATATTGTTTATTTCAAAATAGTTGACAGCTTATTTCCATTGACAGCTTATTTTGATTCTTCAAAGAATGTGCGGAAGATGGTAGACAAAACCCACTACACTGGTGGCTCCGAATTAACTTATAAGGAGAAAAGTCATATGATCGCATTTTGTACTTATCTTGAGAATTACAATACCTATTATCGAACTCCTCCAAATTATGGTGAATACGTGCCACTAGTGCACGTGTTGAACCAGGTAACTTCTATGCAGATACCCTGGTAAGGAGGTTCGCAAGAATTGGAGATACCCTGGTAAGGAGGTTCGCACGTGTTGAACCACGGTAACTTCTATGGAGATACCCTAGTGCATGTGTTGAAAAAATGTTTGGACATTCGCAAGGAGGTTCTTGGAAGTAACATTAAGTGAAAGGCAAGAATTTGAGACATGATAATCTCCATTCTCCATAATGGAGAGTCAGGGGCTATCTTGTTTTTTGCTATTTTACCTTAAAGAATGTAGTAGGTCCTATGAGGTACAATATGTTTATTATGTGGTACAATGTGTTAGAGTTGATGATGAGGAGTACTTGTGATTACGACTAGGGGCCAATTTGCTATGTGATGTCATTGATGAAAACGATGATCTTGAGGAGGTGTTATATGACAATGATGTATTATGATGATAAGTTGTTAATGATATGATGATGATGATGATATTTATTATATCATTGGGTCAAAGAACTGTGGATTAGTTTCAACTAGATGGACATCCACCTGAAACTAGTCCATGGTTCTTTCACCCCGTGATGTAATAACTCATTATGATATAAAAACAATCTCTAAATTCCTGTTGTATGAAAACTTGTGTAAAGGTGTATGAATACAACATGAAATAAAAAAGAAATAAAATATGAAATAATAATAGTAACGCGGGCAGGGAGAAGTCTACTACTAATTACCAGCAGCGCTTCCCTGGGAAAGCGCTACTACTAAGTTGATTTAGCAGCAGTGTGGGTTGAGGCACGCTACTGCTAACCTTTAGCTGTAGCATCGTACCAGTAGCGCTCTAGCCCGCGCTACTGATAGGCCTCAAACCCGCGCTGCTGCTAGGCTTTTCCCTGGTAGTGTTAATTTTTTTCCGTTCTGAAGCTACTTCTTCCCTTCCCTTTTCTTTTCCTATTGCAATTTCCATTTCTACTATAATGGCCTTGGTATCAACAACTACCTGACTGTCGCAATATACACCGATTATTTCCCTGCCAGCATTAATATACACTGATTATTTCCCTGCCAGCATTAATATACACTAATTATTTCCCTGCCAGCATTCTGAATACGATCCTTGTGCAAGTGTGGCAGCTTATATTGATTTCCTCCTTTGGCTTTCATAACTTCGAACATAACCACTTGCAATGTGATAAAGCTTTTGTACAGCTTGTGGGGATCATAGTTCTCGAATTCCTCTTCCACACCCTGTACCAGTTCCTGGATGTTTGTAGGTGACCTACAGTCGGTTAAATATTCGATAGAGTTATGAAAGCAGAGGTCTAAACAATTGAACTCAGGGCTATTTGGCGGTTGTTGTAGCAATCAGATGTCTAAATCAGTTTGTTCCACGGCTTCTCAAAAAGCTACATCATTGGGAAGAACATGAGGCTTTGCGTTATCCTGTTGGATGAATATTGTTAGTCCCTCATCATCGTCAGGCCACTTATCTTGAATTGCTCGGATAACCTTATTGATGAAATAGTCTCTGCACACGGGCCTGGTTAATTTCACTGATTTCAGCACTTTCGTTTCCTTTACTCTGTTCTGGCTTGTTCGCACTGCCTCAATCTCTTTGATGAATGCCCAAATGGCGAGAGAAGGTACTTGGCGATGGCGGAGGAGCTCAGCTGGGCTCGCCGGCCCATGGGGAATCACGTGTTGGTTTGGTCTGGTCTGGTTTGGAAATTAATTAAATTAGAAAGAAAAGAAACAGCATTTAATTACTCTAGTACTATAGTTTGTTAAGTTTAGGTGCTGCTACGTGGTCTCTCGCTCGCTCTAGTATATATATATGTCATGCATGACTACAAGTCTTGTCTTGGTATGTAGGATAAATTTAGCCATGTCTCCTTCATCCATGATGACATGCATTGCATGGTGTATACATATATACTTGCATGTCGAATTCATCCATCCACCTAGTATCTATTATTACTCCTAGGATTCCTTTTTGTTTCACACATGACATGCATGCATGTATGTATGTATGTATGTATGTATAATAATAAGTAGGTAGAAGAAATAATTAATATTTGATGCAGATGTTTTTGTTTCTAGTTTTTTTCTTTTTGAAAGCATGTTATTGTTTCTAGTCTATCTATCTAGTTGTACCAGCTATGATAATGAAATGATGGTGGGAAATTAAGGGAGAGGAGGATGCGGAAACCCAATACGTATGTATACGCATATAGATGGCCGGCCGGGCGGGCGGGCGTGTGAATCGGATGGGAGGGACATCCATGGGATTCATCGACGGAACAAGCAAGCTAGGATGCAAAAAACCACAGCATGCATGCAGCCATGGATGGAATCGCCTCTCCACTTTGTCTCTCTCTCTCTCTATCTGGCTTGCTGGCTGGCGATGAGTTTATTTGTCAGAGACAGAGACAGAGACAGAGACAGAGACAGACTATTAGCTTAGCTGCTGCAACATGCATGACAGGCAAGGCCGGCCATCACCTTCACCTCGGAATTGGCACGGACGGACGGCCGGCCGGCCGGACACAAACAGATGTAGCTAGCTAGCTGGAACGTTACGTATACGGGCGCATGCACGCACGTATGCATCAGCCGGCCGGCGTCGTATCTCCAGCCCAACCCAGCCCAGCCCAGCCCAGCCATGGATCTTCTTCACATCAACGATATATATAAACCTCCCTCCACATCACCTACCCTATATATCAATCACACCGACCCATTCACAGCAAGGAAGCAAGCAAGGGAAACGAAAGAAAGAAAGAGCAAGGAGGATGTCGGAGAAGAACAAGAAGAAGGGTGTGCGCATGGCGCAGCAGGAGCTGGAGGACCTCTACCTCGGCGTCCCCGACGGCTCCGTCGACCTCACCTTCCGAGACTTCGTCGTCGCCCCGCCACCACCGCCCACCGCCTCCGTGTCGCCTGCTCCCACCTGCTTGGCCCCCATCCACGAGCAACCTAATGAGGACGACCCTGCAGCTGCAGCCGAGACCGAGCGCAGCAACAAGGCGCTCCTCTCCAGGACCTCCACCAACATCTTCACCTACAAGGTCCAGTCATCCGCCTCTTCCGACGACGACGACGACACCACCCAGCGCCACCAGGACACGACAACACCGCCGGGCTTCCAGCTCTCCCCTTCCCCGTCCCCTCCTCCGCCCGCCCGCTCCTCCCGCGCCACCAGAAGCAGCCACGCCGGCAGAAGCGGCCGGCCCATGCGCCGGGCGGGCATCCCGCACTCCAACCTCTGCGCGGCGTGCAGCCGCTACATGCATGTCTTCCGCCACCGCTGCCTCGTCTGCGGCCGCGCATACTGCCGCCGCTGCGTGGGCGCCGGCATGGGAGACATGACCGAGGGACGCAAGTGCCTCGACTGCCTCGGCCGCAAGTACAGCCACCGCTACATCCACCGCGCCGGCCGGGGCGCCACCGCCGCCGCGGGCCTCCTCTGCCTCTGCTGCTGCGCGCTCCACGCCTGGGGCTCTTCCTCCTCCGTCAGGGCCGAGGAGCTGCTCTGGGCCGAGAAGGGCCCCGCGCCGCGCCGCCGGCCCTCCACGTCTTCCTCCACCACATCCATCTCCGCGTCCTACAGCACGGCGGCCGGTGGTGGGGGTGGCTACTCGGCGTCCATGAGCATGACCATGATGAGCATCAACAGCGGCGCCAGCAACAGCAACGGCCACGGCCACAGGAACAGCAACGTCGTCGTCGTCGCACCGCCGCCTGCATCCTTCTCCCGCAGCAGCGCCAACCCGCACGCTTTCCCTCTCTAGTCTACTCTCTACACCTCGCACGCTAGCCTGCTGCTTAATAACTACACTCTGCTCTGTCTCTGTGATATTACATTTATTCTATTTTCTTTCTGTTGCCAACAATAGTAATTGATTCCACCACTCGGTTTTGTTTAATTTTCCAACATTTATATGCACCGATCATGTCATGTGTGGTGAAATTGTGACCATGTCCATCATGTAGTACTTTCTCTTTTCATCCAAAATTGTACGGCATTGCTTAAATCATCTCTTCTTCCTTGGGTTCAAGATGATCACCGAGCCAAAGAATCAAAAATCAACCAGTGGGTGATAGGTTAGGATGATCAATGGTTAACTGTATCCAAGCCCCTGCCAAGGATTAAACCTTGGATCTGACAACATATGTTTCTCATGAAAACGAAATATGATTTTCTCGGTCGAGGCGGCATTCGTGTTGATCTTGACTCGCCGGTTGTGAAGCTCCACAGCCTCGGTTTTTAGTAGTCACCATGTAAGAGCATCTCCGGTCGTTGGAGCCCCCTAGGACAATCGCCGGATCAAAAATAGCACGTCTTCGGGGGGCAAAACGCTTCCACCGGATGAAATGCTAGTACATTTTTCCAGCCGTTGGTGCCACCAGGAGAATCGACGCGCAAAAAGTGATTGGGTGAGCTAAGAAAAAGGACGCGTGGGGGAATAGGATTGGATGTTGCTTCTGCCGGCGCCCCCAACAGCCCCCCGGCGCGCTGGGTTTGGCCTGGGTTCGCCGGCGCTATTTTGAGGTCTGGGGGGAGGGGGCACGGCTGGGCTGTTTTTTTTTTGTTTGCCCTTTTTACATTTCCAGCGTGAAAAAAGTGGTCCTAGGGACGCTCTCGGGGAATGGCTGGAGATGCTCTAATTTTGTGCGCGTGGTGGTTATCTTGGTATGCGGGTGCGTCAACATTGAACTCGATCACTATATATGCATGTATTCAAAAAAGAAAAGAAAAAGAAGAACACAAAGTAATTAGACACACATGCATATGTATGGACGCAAATTCAAACCATAACTGGGTGGGTCTTGTGGTGGCACCTCCTATCCATACCATACGTGGTGCCGTCGACGTGAAATGTTGATGTGCAAGCTCTCAGGCCCATCCCATGGTTGTGTTGCAGTGAGTTTCGTCTCCTCCATGATGTGGTCTTGGCAGATCTCCATGATGTGCCGTTGACACCAAGTAACTTGTCGATGCTTGTACTCTAAGGTCACAGCCTATGTATGAATAATGCCTCGATCGTACAAGGGGTCGTTTGTGCCATTAGTCCACATGCATGTTGAACAAGAGCAATTTTGACTAATTGTGTGTTGCTTACATGATATACACGTATATACTATTTTGACTAATTGTGTTTGGCAACCAAAAGTCTGAACCACAATCTTGCTACAATACCAGCTCCTTGTCACCCCTTCCAACAGCTTGGGTACGTAGGAGATGAGTGCGCAAGCTTTCAGTGTAAGTTTGCCCTTCAGTACGTATAGTTGTTAGAACTTGGTATGAGCTCCATGTGTAGATTCCGCATGCAGTTAGGTTCACCCTTCATGATTTCATCTATGTCCTTCAATCTTGCACCAAATATATGCATGGAATGAAGTAATTTAACTTGTTTTTTTTCTTTTAGCTAGCTAGCTAGCTAGAACATTGCAAGATGTTTCAATGGGAGAAATGAATGTTTCTGCAAGTGCTTAACTTCAGGGATGGTCAGTGTTTGGATTGTATTCAAGAAGACTTGACCTATCTATTCTACTCTATTCTATACAGGGTTTTGGTGTGAGATATGCGTATGCGGCCCCGACAATCTGCACCCTTTATCAAGTTGATATGAGTCGCGTGCGTCCAAGTCCGCGGAGGCGGGGGCGGCGGCAGCAGAGGTAGCACCCACGCAGACGAGCGCCGTCACCTGCAGTCGGGTCGGCGGTGAAGCGGTCGATGGCGACGCGAGGAACTCCAGACAGACAGGCAGCGATCCAGCGGCGCGTGCAGATGGAGGCACAGGTCGAGACGGTGGCTGGCGGGGAGGCTGTAGGGAATAGGTGGGGCGAGGCGTGGGGCGTGGCCAAAACTGCCCCGACTAACGTAATTAACGTAATAGCATGGTGGGTAATTAAAACATGAAACGCGTTTAGTATACTAGGGATGTAGACCATCAGATTGCAGGTTTTGATGGATAGGATAATTTGGTTCTCCGCCCTCTCGTGCTTTTACGGGGGTAATAGATACATGGTGTCAACTAACTGGCACACGTATGTTTTTTCTTTTGCATGGTAATACGTGTCTCATTCATATCATAAAGAACAAAGTACAAGTCACGTAAAGACCGACATGACAAAACTGAAAAGATAGCAGAACATCTCTGAGCTTGACACCAACGCCCATCACCTGCTTCCGGCACCACCACAGTAGCCACCGAAGAAAAGAATGATGAATCACCTTCTCACCCGAGCTCGACGCGGCTCCATCGCTGATATGCAGCTTTGCGGACCTCCAAGGTGGCTCACCAAAAGTGAAGCCCTTACCGTTGAACGAATCAGACCGGGGCAACACCCCAGACATGCCAGCCAGCGATCCAGCGGCACGTGCAGATGGAGGCACATGTTGAGGCGGTGGCTGGCGGGGAGGCTGTAGGGAATAGGTGGGGCGAGGCGTGGGCGGTGGCCAAAACTGCCCCGTCGGCGTGGTCGCGAGAGGGCAGAGGGCAGTGACGTGTTCGTGAGGATGTTAACCCAATGGCATGGTGGGTAATTAATTAACGTAATGGCATGGTGGATAATTAAAGCATGAAACGCGTTTAGTATGCTAGGGGAGATGTAGACCATTAGATTGCAGGTTTTGATGGATAGGATGATTTGGTTCTCCGCCCTTTCGTGCTTTTATAGGGGTAATAGATACATGGTGTCAACTAACTGGCACGCGTATGTGACCGAATTTGTATTATTAATATCTCCCTAATATTTGTAACCTCCATGTTTATGTTTGTAGTAGAACTTTGTAAATAAATAGGCTCATAAGCATATATATCTCGTCAGTCTATCTTTTTTTCTGAGCATCAGTACAGACACAAGCGCTCATATACACGCGCATACACTCACCACTATGAACGCACACATGCACACCCTATCCCTATGAGCACCTCCGAGAGACTGAGCCGGCATATCATCTTGAGATTTACGAAGCCACTGTAGGCGTCTCGTCGTCGACGGGAACGTCTCCTCCCACTGAAAGCACATAGCTGGAAATCCTGAAATAAATCCAGGAATAATGTGAGCACCAGAATTTGAATTCTGGTGGGTTGGGAATACCACTGTCCACCTAACCATCCCAACCACAAGTTATCTTGTTTGATGTATTTCCACGATAATATGGTAGCAGAATCATTCATCATTAATGTTGATGCCGAATTATGCCCTTCATTTAATCCTAGAATGAAACTAAAGGTAATTTGTTGTAAAAATAAAGCCTGTGTATGTTGTGAATATGTATTAAAATCAATGAATATTTTTTCAGTTCTCAAACATTTTTTTAAAAAAACATGTTTTTTCGTTTGCAACATTTAAAAAAAATCAAGATTAATATGCTAAGCGAGAGAGTGGAGCAGGGAGACGAGCTGCATGCGCGAGCCAGAGCTTCGTGGGCCGGCCCATATGAACGTTAGAGCAACAGTTTCATTGTCTCAGCATGGAATATGAGCTCCCCAAATTTTATTTGGCGCCCGGTGCGCCACATAAAGGCGTTTCAGCAAAGCGGTGCAGGCATCCTCCACACTGCTAGCTAGTGGGCCGGTCCATTTTGTTCTTATTTCAATGGTTTCTCACTTTTATTCATTTTTAGTTTACATTTTAGTTTTCGTTTTTATATGTTTTTTGTTGCATCAATTTCGTGAACGTTTTCAAAATTTTCATGATTGTTTTAAAATTGATTTTATTCAATTTTCGTGTCAACTTTTGATTATTGAAATTCGTGATTTTTTCTCAAATTTGTGAATTTTATAAAAAATCATGAACTTTTTAACCTTTTCAATTTTCATGAACTGTTTTCAAATTTGTTGTTTCTAAAGTTGTGATTTTATTTTCCACATTTCATGAACTTTTCAATTTATTTAAAATGTTTTTATCAATTTTCATGAACTTTTCAATTTATTGAATTTTTTTTATCAATTTTCATGAAGTTTTCTCAAATTTGTTGTTTCTAAATTTTGTGAATTGTTTTTCCAAATTCATGATTTTTTTAAATGTACAAACTTCTTTCGAACCTATGAATTTTTTTTATTCTTTAAAAGATCACATTTTATTTGAAAAAGTCAACAATGGACCGGTCAATTGTGACCGGCGAACTATGGACCGAGCTATCAGAAAAAATTGTGCATCACAGAGCAAGCGCTTCCCTATTGTTTTGCATTGGCCGACAAGCGGAGGCGCAGGGGCTCTGCTCTAAGAACTCCACTCTGCTCTAAGAACAAATAGTGTCTCTAGCTACACCCCAACACGATAATATATGGACAGAAAGAAAACACCACTAAGACATAATTCTAAGAACAAATAGTGTCTCTAGCTACACCCCAACACGATATATGGACAGAAAGAAAACACCACTAAAACATAATTAAAATCCAAGACAAATTAGATAAACCAAAAAACCTGCTATAGAAAAAAAAGACAATCCTACGAGTGAAGACCGGCGTGGCGAATCTCGTGTTAGCCACTAGTAGTAATTGAATGGTTCTTTCCCTAAAAAAATTGAATCGTTCCATTTCTCCCCTAAAACATAATTAAAATCCAAGACAAAGCAGATAAACCAAAATACCCGCTAAAGAAAACAAGACAATCCTACAAGAAAATGACGCGGTGAATCTTGCGTCAGCCTCTAGTAGTAATTGAACGGTTCCATTTCTCCCACGCGCTTAATTATCATGCTGATGTGATGTGAAGTTGGATTAAGGTTTAATTATTCAGCATTGTCTTGTCAGGCATTTATTACTTTTTACTG